TCCTTCCCCTCCTGAGTTGCCGTCGGCTCCTAGAGGTGTTCCCCCTGCTCGGGATGCCTTCCGGCTGCCGGCCTCGCCGAGGGGCCCGGATCGCTGCAGACGGCAGCCAGAGACCCAAGCTAAATGGCCCGAAGACCAGACACGCTCGCGGCGTGAACAATCACGGCGGGAGGGGGTTGGCTGGTCTCGGCCTCCGGGGGCCCTCGCCGGGCCCCGGGACCGTCAAAGAGCGATTCGGGATGAACAGCTGGCCCCTCGGGAGAGGGGCGGGACTTCTGCGGACCCTGTGTGGTGAGGGCACTGGCTAAGAAACGCTCGGATGAGGAATCCCGGGTCTGGAAGCCGGTGGAACTCCTCCAAGTGGGGCTTGGCCATGGCTATCAATCACCGCCACGTCTGAAGCCTCCTGGGCCCGTTCCTGAACCGAGGCCCCCACCGCACTGAAATCCCAGCAAGCGGGCACCGGATCGAATGCGCCTCCGCGGGCGGCTTCTCCAAGGTCCTCGAGCCTGCGGGCACCAGCTCGAGGCCGCCGCGGGTAAGTGGGGCCAGAGGCTTAGAAGCGTCTGGGAGGACCGCCTCGGCGGGCGCCCAGGGTCTTCCAGAGTGCTTCAAGAAGGACCCTCGAAGCATCCCCGAGGTGGACACAAGACGGCCCACGGTCGGGAACTTCTGCTCGGCCTGTCGCGGCGGCGGCCCCGGCGACACGCGATCCCCTGCAAGCGGATGGCGTGTCGCTCCGCTCCACGGGGCGGGAGGCTCGGAACGGGAGGCTGACGCATCGGGACCGGGAAGTGGATCGCGCTTCGCGCCGAAGCGCGGTGGGCCAGAACCGGCGGAGTGACACGAGGAGGAGGAGGAGGAGGAGGAGGAGGAGGAGGAGGTGCCCGAGACGTCCCTGGCACGGCGCAAGGCCCCGGGCCCCAGGGCGCCGCTCTGGCAGCCCAAGGCAGCCCCAGGATGGACCCAGACCGAGTCCAAAGCTGATCTGGAGCTGCTCTTCGGGAAGCTGCCTGGAGCCAGACCGTCTTCAAGACCGCCCGAAGACGCCCAAAAGGGGGACCCGCCCCAGAACCGTCTCCCGGTCGTCGCCATCCCAGGGCGGAGGAGGAGGGCAGATTTGTGATGTTCGGGAGACGATGTGAGTCAGCACCCGTCGTGGATCAAAATGCCGCAGCCTGAGCCCGAGGAGGGAGGAGGCTGCGAGGAGGGAGGAGAGGGATAGTGAGGGGTTTACGATATTGGGGTCTGGCTCAGGACATGGGAATTAAGCTTGGTATCGGCGGGATATCCCCATGTATCGGCGATCGGCCCTCGATGCCGAAACCTGATGCTACTGGGCGGCGTGGGCAATCAGTCCCATCGGCGATGAATGGGCGTTCGTGGGTCGATGCATTACACCATTGAGCCTATCCCCCCTGGCGTTGCCCCCCTGGCTTTCAGGTCATAGCTCGGCTCTCTGGCGGCCGTTCGGGACGATCCAGGCAAACCCCGAACGCTACGGGCGAGGCGCAGCTGCCTGAGAGCACCCCGAGGCTGGAACGCCGCGGAGAACCGACGAAAGCGCCCAAAAGCCTCGAACCCCGAATCCGGAAAACGCCCCAACCCGAAAAGCGAAAAGGCCCGAGCCCCCCACGAGCGATGCAGGGAGGACTCGTGGAGGGCGCGAGGAGGCGGGCGCGAGGGCACCAAAGCGCGCGGGGAGTGAAGGGTACCCTTGCGTCCTGTGTTTCGCCACCCATGCCTTCTGCATCCCTGCTGCAGTGTGGCCCTCGGAAGGGTCATGTGTCCTCTCGCGTGCCCTCCAGGAGGCCACATGCGAGCCCTAACCCGGCCACCCCACGATTCCTAAGGAATGGAGGTGGGCTTCACTTCGCTTGGGAGGTCCCGAGCGAAGTGTGAACCCCACCTCCCCCCTCAGAAGTCGTGGGGAGGTGGGGTTAGGGCTCCCGTGTGGCCTCCCACTCTCCGACCGAGTCCCGCCTGCAGCCTCCGAGCCCCGTCCTGGTGGCTCCGCCGGCCCGCCCGTGGAGGGGGCGCCTCCCTCCGCCGCTCCTCGTCCGCCTGGAGCTCGCCCGCCCGGAGGTCCTGCGCCCGCCGAGGGGAGGGCGAGGGCGCGCCGGAGTGCGGCGGCACCTGCGACGTCGACCGAGACGGCGGCGGCGGCGACCCACAGCCTCCTCATCTTCCTCCTCCTCCTCTTCTTCTTCTTCTTGTCATTATTCTTCTTCTTCTTCTTCTTGTTCTTCATCCTCATCTTCCTCCTCCTCCTCCTCCTCCTCCTCCTCCCTCCTCTCCTCCTCCTCCTGTTCCTCCTCCTGTTCCTCCTCCTCTCCCCATCTTCCTCCTCGTCTCCTCCTCCTCCTCCTCCCCCCCTCCACCTCCTCCTCCCCTCCGCCTTCTCCCCCTCCTCCTCCCTCCTCATCCTCATCCTCCTCCTCCACCACCTCCACCACCTCCTCCTCCTCCTCCTCCTCCTCCTCCTCCTCCTCCCCCTCCTCTTCCTCCTCCTCCTCCTCCTCCTTCTCCTCTTCCTTCTTCTCCTCCTTCTCCTCCTCCCATGCCGTGCGCTCCAAGTGGCCGCGGGCAAGGACCCGCAGCCGCGCCCTGACACGGGCGAGCCGTCCACGAGCTGCTGCTGCTGCTGCCGTCCACAATCAGGACGGCAGGTTTTTCTGTATTTTCGTCCTCTGGGGGCCCTTACCAGGCCCCAGGGCCGTCCAGAAACGACTCAGGACGAGAAGCCGGTCCCGGGGGAGGGGTCGAGACCTCTGGGGGTCGACGTTTAACCAAAAAAAATGACGTCGGGGGTCTGGGTCATCCTCACACATCCCATTCCTTCTGAATGACTTCCCCCTGTCGCACCCCCAGACGTGTCGTCTTCAAGGACGGGGGCGGCTCGCTTGCAAAGTGTGGCTCTCGCCGTAGGGCCGCGCGCATTCGTCAAACTGCGGAAGCCTCACAAATTGGGAAAGGGCCGTTTTTCACACTGTGGTTCTCGCCTTAGCGCCGCGCACAGTCATGTTCAAAATTGTAACAGCTTCAAGGATGGAAGGCGGGCCGTTTTCAAGATGTGACTCTCGCCGTAGCAGACATTCGCCTACGAAGTCTGCATCAGCTTCAAGGATGGAGGGCATTTCCTTTTCAACTTGTGGCACACGCCTCAGCACCGTCCACATTCGTCTTTAAAACTCTGCACCTGTTTCAAGGATTCGTCTGGGTGAAGTCCTGGGGGTGGTGATCTGGCATGATTTGGGATCCTCAGGACGCAACAATCACGTTGCTTCTCCGTGGAAGTTCCAGGGATGGCGTTCTGGCACGACTCAGGATCGTTACGACGCAACAGTAAGATTGATGCGCGGCGCTGAAGTCCCAGGAATCGTGTTTGGCACGATCGAGGTTTCTCAGACGGTTGTCTTCTACGGGGCACTTCCCGCGGTGAAAAAGAATTATTGCAGGGACCTATGAAGAGGGAACTTGGAGGGAGGGTTTACTGCAACGTCATTGATGCGTCTTGGGTTTACACTGGTCCCCCTCCTCCTCCTCCTCCTCCTCCTCCTCCTCCTCCTCCTCCTCCTCCTCCTCCTCCTCCTCCCTCTCCTCCTCCTCCTCCTCCTCCTCCTCCTCCTCCTCCTCCTCCTCCTCCCTGATCGCGCCCGATGCTTGGCCAAGCGCGGACGCGCGGTGCTCTGTCTCCTTCCCCTCTTCGTTCTTCTTCATGATGATGGTGATCATCATCACCGTCATCATCAGCATCATCAGAATCGTCGTCAGCATCATCATCGTTAGCAGCATCATCATCGTTAGCAGCATCATCACCATCAGCAGCATCATAAACATCCCACCACCACCACCATCATCGTGATCGTCCTCTTCCTTATCCTCCTCCACATCATCACCATTACCATCATCATCATCATCACCACCACCACCACCACCACCACCACAACCGCACCACCATCAGAATCCACACCATCACCATGACCATCATCAGCGGCATCAGGATCTTCAGCATCATCATCAACATTCGCATCCACATCATCATCAGCACCAGCGTCGTCATCGTCGTAATCTGGGGGAGAGGGGCAGACCGCCTCGTCGCCATCCCCCCCCCCACCCAGGGAGGGTCCTGCTCGGCCTCCCGCAGCCGGCGAGCCTCGCGCGCACGGGGCGAAGCGGAGAGGGCGGACGGGACCGCAGAGGCGGCTCGGGGGCTCATCCGCTCTTCGTCGTCGTCGTCCTCCTCCTCCTCCTCCGATTCCTCCGATTCCTACGAAATTCTTCTCTTCCTCCTCCTCCTCCTCCTCCTCCTCGCCCTCCTCCTCCTCCTCCTCCTCCTCCTCCTCCTCCTCATCATCATCATCATCAGCAGCATCAGCATCAGCATCATCATCACCACCATCAGCATCATCATCATCATCATCATCATCATCACCATCATCAGCAGCAGCAGCATAAGCATAAAAATGATCATCATCAGCAACATCCTCATTATGATCAGCATCATCAGCAGCATCAGCGTCATCATCATCATCGTAAGCATCATCAAGCTCATCCTCAGCAGCATCATGTTCAGCATCATCAGCAGCATCAGCATCATCATCATCCTCATACTCATCCTCATCATCATCATCATCATCATCAGCAGCAGCAGCATCAGCGTCATCATCATCAACGTCAGCATCATCATCAGCATCAGAATCAGCATCATCAGCATCAGCATCATCATCATCATTATCATCATCAGCATCACTATCATCATCCTAGTAATCATAATCAGCAGCAGCATCATCATCATCGTCATCATCATTTTGTTCCTCCTGACGCTCCATCCTCCCGCCGCTTTCTTATCCTTATCCGCCATCTCCTTCTAGCGATCGGTGTTCTTAAAACTATTACGAAATTGCCGCTCTCTATACTAACATTGCCGACACAACCGCCGCTACCACCACTGCCACATCGAAAACGTAACAACCGTCCCTGCTCGTGCTGCGACCGCTGCTACGACTGCTATCGCCACTACCATCGCTACAGATTACCGTACTCGAACGATTCCGTGCCGGCGTCCTTGGGCGTGGCTTAGTGGGGGGGTCATAAATGGGGGGGTCAGAAACGGTCCCCTTTCGTGCCCCTTTCGGGCCCCTCTGGAGCCCCAGGGGGCTCGTTTAGGTACCGTTTGGGTACCTTTTCGGACCACCCTCGCCACCCCCCCATTTCTGACCCCTCCATTACGCAACGCCCAACGTCCTACCATCCCCTGAATGCCGGCTTCTGTCTGCTACGTGCTACCTGCTGCACACTGCAGCCGCCACAGTGCCTTCGGGTCGGGCGGGCGGCCCTGACGGGCGGGTCGGGCGGGGGGGCCCTAGCGGGCGGGCCTGGCGGGCTGGGCATTGAAGCGGCTTTCGTGAGCGGGAGCGGAGGAGGAGGAGGAGGAGGACGACGACGAAGAATAAGAAGGTCTGAGCAAATTCCGAGGATGTCGAATGCGAAATCGCGATTCCTGGGCGTCGAGAGCGCATCGCGCTCGGAGATTGTAAGGAAATTCGAGGCGAGATCGCGACTCCCAGGTATAACTGCGAAGATGTCGAGCGAGAGCGCGATGATGTTCAGTCCACTGCGAGGAAGTATCAGGCGGGGCCGTTGCTGTTTTAGTCCAGGGACCAACAGCCCAGTTTGGGGGCTGAGGGCTTTCCCTGATGAAGAGCCATGTGCGAGCCCGGGGAGGGGGGAGACCCTTCAATTGAACAGAAACAAACATGAGCACCAGGCTGGGGGAGTCAACGAGAGCTACTCTTCAGAAGTGCCAGCTCAGCAAAGCAAAAACAAACAAAGACAGCACTCCAAGATACCCGAAGAAGACTGCAAGAAGCGCCCGAAGGTCTATCAACGGTTGCGGTGCTCCGCCTGGAGCCCGCCAGGCTTCCAGTGCCCCGGTCCTGCCCGCGCCATCCCCGCCCGAGCCCTCTGGAACCAGGGCTCGTGGGTACTGCTCCGCGATGAGGCCACGGATCAAAACGTTGATGCCCTGTCCTGCGCGGCGCGCGCCAAGGGCACGCGATGCTCGTAGCTGGGTCAATGATTGAGCGATCGATCGATCGTATGATCGAATGGAGATCGTTTGATGCACTGGGGGCGCCTAATTTTCAACGCTTCCGCATCTGGCCCAAACTGCTTCTGAGCCCTCCAGGCCCTGGCAAAGCGGAAACGCGATCCCACAGACACTGGCTGGAAAATCGAAACGCAAATACGTGACCGGCCCATGAAGGGCTCCCAACTTCGCGCTTCGCGCTGCGCGAAGCGCGAAGTGCGAAGTGCGAATAACTTCGCGCTCTCGCGCCGCCTCCCAGGGGAGAAGTGGAGGGTGAGGAGGAATCGGAGCCGAACCGCGAAGCGCGAAGCGCGAATAACTTCTCGCCCTCGAGGGCGCCCTTGGCCCATGCACTGGTTCTCAGCGGCGACTTTGATCCGAGACGCAGTCGGGGCTGCGGGGGACACTCTGGATGCGACCTGGGCACAACAGAAGCAGGGCGCGGCGACGAAGGGCGAAGAGGAAGCCGCGGGCGCCGGAGCACGCTCAGAGCCTGCCGGATGAAGAGTTGCGAACGACGCATGAGCACGGAGAGTAAAGTAGGCATGCCAAGCCTGCGCGCTGCCTCCTGATGGTCATTGCTGGCATTGTCATCCTCCTCCTCCTCCTCCGCCTCCTCCGCCTTCTCCTCCTCCTGCCCCTCACCTCGGGCAAGGCGACCTCTGGATCCTCTCGCTGCCGCCTCTCAACAAGTCCAGTCTCTGACACAGAAAGCAAGCCTGTCCCTACCCAGCAAGTGGAGGGAAAAGAAACAGAACGCGCCACAGGAGGTGCCAGGGGCGCGCCGGAGGATGCGCCAGGGAACGTGCCGGGGGACACGTCAGGCGACGTCTCAGGAGACTTGCCGTGGACGTGCCACAGGACGCGCCACAGGACGTGCCAGCGAGAGTGGCGGCAGACGCGCCCGGGGACGAGCCGCGGACGTGCCCAGGGCACGTCCACGGAGCGCGCCAGTGGGCGCGCCACGGCACGTGCCCGGGGGACTGTCCAGGGGACGAGCCAGGGGACGCGCCCCGACCCCCCCCCCCCCCCCCGAAACACCCAAACAACCCCCCTTGCGGGGGGGTCCCAGGGGGGAACCCACCAAACCCCCCCTAACCTTCCCCCAACAAGCCTATGAGGGGGGGGTCCTGGGAGGGACCCCCCCCCTTAACCCTCCTAACAACCCCCCTTGAGGGGGGGTCCTGGGGGGAAACCCACCAAGCCCACCGAACCCTCCCTAAAACCCCAGGGGAAAGACCACAAACCCCGACCCCCTCCCCCACTCCCGGGAAAAAACACATTGAGAGGGCGGGGGGTCCTGGGGGAAGAACCCACCAACCCACCCTAAACCCCCCAAGAAACTCTCCTTGAGGGTGGGTCCAAGGGAACAAAAAAAAACAACGCCCTTTGAACCCCCTTCCCCAAAA